ACCCAGTAAACCTCAGTCCCAGAGCCGCAAACAGGAGGTGTGGGACTTTAGCAACTGGATAAACCAGAAGAGATCTGGGAATGTTTTTGTTGTGTCCTCATGGCGACCAATGACACGCCCCAAAATTACGCATGACGTCTTAATAAGATCGTCTCCCTGACAACCACTTAGCAGTCGCGTTTAGGAGCGGAGGAAGTCCGAGTTGCCCCGTCAGTCTCTGCTAGTGATTGGCAGATGAAGCTTCATGAAGCACTGAAGCTTTTCATCCAATTGGTTCACTCCAGCGCAAAGCTTCTTGAAGCTTCATTTGCTCTAGCAGGACACCTACTGGACGTAAAAATATTAGTTGGCATGAATTTGAAGAGTGTGGCATTTTGCACACAGCCTGTAAATGTCAACATCAAAAGGAGTGTGTAAAACATGTATATTGTAGTGATGGCAGTACACTGTGTATATTTATACTGGCAGTATGGAAAATGATTATTTGGAAATGCTTAAAATGATCATTTACTGTGAGGTGAGGTGTGGTTGGGGTGTGGACAGTGGTTGTGCTTTTGTAACGTTGAGGTATGGACAGCTACACACTGAGGTGTCAGTCCTGCCTGTTCACATTTTATTCTGTAAAAACCAAATTTTCACTGCTTTTATGACCTTTTTAGTGGGGAGAACATAGCTAGGATTTAATGATTTAACAAATCTTTTGAATCCTTTGTCCTCGACAATGCTAAATGGCTGGAAGTCCTCAATCACCATGGTAACCAGGTCTTCATCTATTTGAGATTGTTCTCCTGAGGAAAGACAATAAAGACAAAGCACAAATATAAATATCACACACATAACTTATAGCATTGTGTGATATTGTTATATCATTTAGTAACATTACAGCATGCTATATTATCATGACATTTGATGGCTCACCTGGTCTTGCTCCACAATCGGTGTTCCCCCTATTCTCATGCAAAGCTCTGTAGTGCCTAAGCATGGATGAGGTGTTGTTGTTATATCCCAGCTCCCTGGCACATAGCAAACACTTCACCTTGTACAACAGTAAAGACAGCTTAACATAAATTGTATTGCACCATCAGTATCATGAAAATACATCTTCTGTAGAAATTTACATACCTTGTTGGGAGGAATAAGATCAAAATGTTCCCACACAGGGGAGGACATCCTCCTCTTCTTAGCTGGCTCCATTCTCTCCTGACTTTCTCTCCTCACTCTCATAAACCTCCAAACTGTCTCCAAACTCTCACTAACCGCAACTCTCCATCAAACACCCACATTTTGAAGTCTGAGGGGTTTATATCGCTGTCATATCTCGCGGCAAAGTTCGAACCACTTCATGAACCAGTCACGTGTGTTACGTTTCGGTGTTGTCAGTGTTTTGCTTTTGCGGGACTGTTATGTGTTTCCTGTTTTACGTTGAAGGTCTGTTGTATCTCAGTGTGTTCAGTTCACCCTTTTTTGTCTCGTCAGGCCTAATTTGCCCCAGCTGTGTTTCCCTCCTGTGGTCCATTCCCTGATTGCTCCTTCTATGTATATAAGCCTTGTGTTTCAGTTTGTCATGGTCGCGACTCGCGATCTCTCCCCCCGGTTGTAAATAGTTTGGTGATGTAAATAAATGTCCTATTTTGCTTTGATGTAAATAGTTGTCGGTACTTTCGTTTTTGGGATTTTTGGTGGAGTACCTTAGTGGTTTTTTTGTTTGTTTTTTTTCCTTATTTTTATTTTTCCTGTGTTGCACGCCGGTTGCTAGGCCGGGGTGTAACACGTGGTACAGCCGGGCAGCGAGGCGTTGGACGTCATCATTTTCAGCTCCTCCCATAACTGAAGCAAGCCATCGCGGAAACGCCCCCTCCATTACTCGACACAAGCTTCGAAGCCTCGATACAGAACATCACATCACTAGTCACTGCACTTGTTGTTATGTCCCGGCTCAGCTCGTCTTCTTACACTTTTCCACTCTGGACTTTAATCTTGTGCTCGGCTTTCTTAATCGCACCTGTTCAAGGTAAACCGATGTTTTACTTAAACTCTGCTTTCAGCTTAAAGCTAACTTTAGTGGGTACTATGACTGTCGTGTCTGCAAGGAGTGGGTGAAATAATCGCTGGTTTGTCACAGCAGGTTGGTCCAGAGTTAAACTATTCTCAGCTATGCTGCAAAATATTACTGACGCCTCTAACTTCTAATAGCAGCCCATGCACTTTGAGTGGAAGAAGACTGTGTCATGATTTATGATGTTAATACATATTACAGTAGCTAAATCATAAACATTATTAATGACCAATAAATGATTTATGGTTTCCACTGCGGGTAAAAAGTCATATACTGTTAGTCAACCCCTAAAACAAGACTATAAAATGTGATGTACTTCCAGAGTTCAGTCAGCTACAGTCACTATCATTGCTTACAATAGTGATATTACACACATAAAATATAGCTACAGTATAACATGGATAGATAGGATTTAGTGAGCTGCAGTCTATACTCCCATGATATCCCAATATCATGTAATAGAGATTTCAGACACATATTTTTATTACCGTAAGGAAATAAATCTGCAAACATGAAATCTGCTCAGAATTATTTCTGGACAACAGCTGATGTCTTCAAACTTACATTCTTCTTTCCTCAGTCTGAGGATCTTTGTTCAAGAGCAATAATAATGACAGATGTGTCTTGTAGTGTAGTTTGTGTGTCGACAAAGTTGTAAAAACCCCGATCTTCCACACAGTCAGAGGCTGCAGGTCATTTGCAGTTATTTCAATGTGAACTGCTCTGGGAGAATCACCCCAGAGACTCGTGCTGAATGTAGAGCACAGAAACTAAAGTAATGATACCAAACTTGATATGATACGATTAATGTTCGGCTCATTCTGTCCGACTGAAGCATTTTTTTTCTCTGCTGAGAGGCCAAGAATTCATCTATGAACTATTTATGTAAATTATAGTATAAAATGTGAAGTTATACTGTTGGCTGCTGTTGCTCTGTTATTGGTATCTCAGAGTGGTTTATACCTTATTGTAATCTGTACCGATCTGATGCCATGCATCAGCTCACCTGTGTTTGTAGTGTGCTGAAGAACAAATTCTTTTACAAGCTGATCAGACCGGAGCGTCTGGTTTGACTCACTGCCATACTGCCTCTGTCTCAGCTCCAGCAAACTCCCATAATCTTGAACAAGCTGAACTATAAATTATTGATGCATGCCTCAGTCTTCACTGCTGTTTTGGTGCTTGTAACTTTTCTGTCCTAGAGATAAATATCTAGACACGCGTCACTGGATTCAACTGAATTCCAACCATTTGTTTAAGCTTTTCCCACTAATGTGCTGTTTATCAGAGATGAAGACGTCAGCTGCTCCTGTAAACACAGTTGGTAAAATCTTCACTGCTGGAAAACTGTGATGATGTTTCCATGTAACAGAGGTTCAGTCAGTTTTACACAGAATTTCATTTAGAAAAGAAAAACTTAGTTTGTTTTTTTTAATCCAGCAACATTTGATTTTTGTCTGATTTTGCCAGATTTGACCACACTTTCCTGTTCAGAATAAATAAAAACAGATTTATGATGGTTTGTGGGGATTTCTAAAGCATGTTCCTGTAAATTACCTCTGCATGCTGCTCACTGTGTTGTATTTTTCTGATTTCAGTTTAGTTTTCAATCGTTTTAGAGATATTTAGGTGTTGCTCAGGATTCCCCTCACTCTTGAACTTGGTAGATTTCTGTTGGTTGTTGTTGTTGCTCTCAGCCACCAGCTAACATTAGTAGTTGGTCAGTATCGTAGCTGCTGACATGCTGCTGAACATGCAGCATGTCTGTGTGTTGAGACGTAACAGTTATATTTTTGTCTGCAGCCTGAATGTGAAAATGAAGAAGAAGATCTGGATCCCCACAGATTGTTAAGAAGATGACATCATGGATTTCATTCCTTTCCTTGTGGTCCCACTGTGGACTTCAATTCTTCACTTGGATTTTGTTAAAGGTAAATAACGTTTCTATTACGTTCTAGTTCGTTTGTATAGCACAGACTCTGTGTTTACCTTATTTACTGTATTTCCATGAATGTTAGCACACATTTCAATAAACCACTGCATCCATTTCATATTTTCCTACAAAGAATTGAAAGCAATAAAATGCAGCTCAATACTTCCACAGCTTTGTATTCACAAGCTGCACGGTTTATTTCGCAGACCAAATTTAATGCTGGGATATTTTAATTTAGTCCTTGCTACTGTCTTGCTTAACATAAGCATTCCTACCAGGTCATGAGTATTTGGTCTTATTTGGAACAAGTTCTGAATGTTGTGGGACAAAGATTTATTTGCTGCTTTGTACATTGTGCAGTTCTGACGTCAACCAAGTCTTTAAATTTAAGAATATTACATTTGAGGAAAAGTGGATTTGCTGGTTCTCTTGAAGTGGTTTTACTTATTAACCTTATTGCTCTTCTTTGCAGAATGTATGTGTTTCCCCACACTTACACAATATATAATTCAAGGAAGTCTAATGGGACAATACTGCGTGTGTACGTATGTGTATATATATATTCTATTGGTCGAGTGTGATTCCCAAATATTGTAAATTTTGTTTGTAATAAGTGTCAATGTTGATTTATTATAGTTAAACCAAGTTTGTATCCTCAGCAAACAATAAGATTTTCAATTAGTTTGAAATTTCACATGTATGTCGGTAATGTACAATATGGACAGAAACATGTCAGGGGGGAAAAAAACTTCTGATGTTGTATAAAGTTGTGAGTGTGTCTGCTCCTCTCTGTCTCCTCAACAGGATCGTTTGTAGTGGATGTGACACAGAGCTCCTATCAGGCAGAGGAGAACCACAACATCACACTGGAGTGGACGTTCACCACCAAACCAGACACGCCCCTCTCAGCACTGAAGATCCTCTGTAGCCTGAATAATGACTTAACTCTATTATCTTCGTGATGGGGTCGAGTTCTCAGAGGTTCAGGACAAAAAGTTTTCAGGACGAGTCCAGAGTGACAAAGACGCCCTCAGAGAAGGACGACTCAGACTCCAGCTGTCCAGACTCAGGACTGAGGACTCGGGTCTGTACCTGTGTGAGGTGGACACAGGTTATGGCTGCGGCTACAACAGCTGCAGACTCACCGTCTCTGGTAAGAGGATTCATTTATACACATGTGATCAATGAACTTGAGATAAGAATGTATATGTAAATATTACGCCAAATAAACAGAAGATTATTGGTTTCGTTTTACAGCTGTACCAGGGGTTATATTTCTTTGTTCTTTGTTTACATTGACTCGTCATCATGTGCTTGAATCTGATGGTAATTAGTGTGAATGCTTTATTATCTTTATTATTATTATTATTATATATTTTTTAAATGGTTTCTTTGAACTCTACAGCTTTTGTCTTTAATTAGTTTAAAACAAGAGTTGGGCACAAGTTTGAATTTATTTTGATCTTCAGTAAACAAACTGTACAAAGACTCAAAGATCATCAGTTTGATCTGTGGGAAAATAAGCATCTTCTTGTTACTTGTCACTGCAAGTTTGTGCCATGTGTCTGTCACTGTGTGAGGAACTTAAAATGTGACGATAATTTAAAAAGAAATTCACATCCTGTTGAACTTTTTATTGACTTTTGATAAACTGAATGCTATTTGATTAAAGACATTAGTACCAACTTGACATTTCAATGTCGTTATGTGGTTCAAACATCAAACTGCAAACACTCTGGTTCTTACATCATATATTTTTATCAACTGATTATGACTCTAATGATTTTTGTGTTTGTCTAGATGCAAACTTTGCTGAAACCTCGACAATGGAAACGCTGCTGCTTTCCCAAAGCCTCCACACTCCAGATCCTAAGGACGTGACATATGGTGAGAAGACGGTCTAACTTTTTTCTGCGTCATCCCTGTTTGGGGTTTTGTGTATTTGTAGTGACCTTCTTTTGTTTTCTACATCAGCAGGTCGATCCAGGGTCCCTGTGGTCGTCGCTGTCATCACCTTATTATCAGTTGTGGCTCTCGCTGGTTTTGCTGCATTTTTCTCTCGCCACATTTTTCAGAAGCTAAAAGTAAGAAACAAACAAACACAAACATGTTGTTGCTTCTTGTGTTGTCAGACTGACTCATTACTCTACATTTTTCAACAGAAGCATCCAGAGGATGAGACACAAAAACAACCACTACAAGTCTAGCTGCTTTACTCAAAGTAATAATGGTCTTAATGGAGCTGAGAGTGTTAGAGATTTATCTTTGCTGGATCTTCGCAGTCAGGTCAGGGATTCAAACCAGCAACCACACTCAGGTCCAGCAATAAATTTAATTTATTTTTTTGAATTTAATGTAATCTACCCTACCACTTTGTGGACCGGGGAGCTAAATACCAGATTCCTCCAAACTTCAAGAATTTTCTATGCATCATTTTTGGTTGAGTTTTTGTGATTGTCATTTTTTTTTAAATATGTTTTTAGTTGGTTTATTTACTGACTGACAACCTGGCTTATTCACCTTCTATTGAACAGAAGCATTTAGAAGATGAAGATTTTTCTGGATTTATTGATTTTGCTTGTCTGTACAAACTTTGTTGTGCCATCAGTGTGGTCATCACATCATAATGTTTTATTACTGTTGTTGTATTTTATTTATTTATGCCTGATGGTAGTCCAATTTTTTTTTTTTTTAGTGTTGTTTTTTTTGTTATTGTACTGAATGAAAGTTCTGTTTGTAGATTTTGTACATCTGTTGTGTTTCAGGGATATTAAAATGCACTACAGGCTTTTTCAACTGATTCCAATTCTAAATCAGAATCAGAATACTTTATTAACCCTTTAGAGCCGATCGGAGCGGGAACGCTCTGTTATGCGTAACTATTTTTAAATCCCGGTAGCACTGCAACCACGTAAGCTAGCGCAAAAATCTTTTTTGCATATGAAACCGGAGGAGTTGTACTTACATATTGTGCCATCAGCTTGTCCTAGGTCACGGTTTCCTTCCACATAAAGCTTTGCAAAAACTGCATAAAAAGCGCTTGCAGGAACAAAAACCTAATATTCCAGAAACACGCTTTGCCGGTCCGATCAGCTGTTCAAAACACTTCCTACGTTGGAATAGACGTCAGCGCGAACTTTTGCATTTCCGCCATTACCTGGACGAAACCGGAAGTGACGTCATTTTCGCGGAAATGTAGTCTTTTTTGCGATCAGGGCCTCAGGGCTTATACTGCTCTTTTTAAAAGTTATCTTTGACTTTATGACTTTCTGTGTCGTTTCTGGGATGCTTAGGACTCATATTGCACTGCTGGAAATAGTTTATTTTGATGCATATGCTGCTTTTTTGCAAATTTGCAGTATAATATTTATTTTCGTTTTTCCTGCAGTGTATAAAAATTGGTGTATTTCAAAAATAAAACTATGAAGACACTCAAAATAAATTTCCTGTGGTGGGAAACTATTTTGTGCAACTTTTTTGTATTTACAGTTTTGAGGGATAAGTCTCTTAAATTTCTCTAACTACAAATATATGTTAAAAAATCAAAAACGATTTTCAATTTTTTTGTAGTTTATTGCACTTTTTTGCAATTTATGTAATTACTATGCACTTAATGAATACATATTATTAAAATCTGGGCTATAATGGTTGTATTGATGTATAGCAACTTGAAATGCTCCCAAAAATGGTTCCACAGCATGTAAAAATATAATATAAGCTCTGGCGGACTTGGTTCTATGGTAGGTCTTAAAGGGTTAATCCCAAAGGAAATTATGGGTTACAGCATGTGAGTTAACTAAAGTGCTTGAACTGTTCAGATTAAAGTGCTGGATGAACATCAAATCTGCATACATGCTACTACTGCACATTCACCGTGTGTGTGTGTGTGTGTGTGTGTGTGTGTGTGTGTGTGTGTGTGTGTGCTCTCCCCCCCCCCCCCCCCCCCCCCCCCTCCTTTTTTTGCACAAGTTGAGGAGCGTGTCAGGTTACATTTCCCTGTGTGTTAAACTTGTATAACTGTGCATGTGACAAATAAAGAACCTTGGAATCTCACTTGTGGTTAGTAACACTTTGAGTTGTCAGTAAGTTGTTTTGGTTTCTTTTTCTTTGGTCAGAAGTTTTCAAAAACACAAGTTACACAAAATGTTGTATCACCAGAACACCACACAGCCAATCAGTAACAAGAAAAATTATGATAATAAAAAATGGAACACAGCTATTCTAAGTTAAAGCCACGGAATAACATCGGTTTTAAGATATGTTTCAAAATCAGCCAACAAGGGGCCAGCCTAACCTGGGCAGGGAGATCATCAGTTTGATGCGATGACTGAAAAGACTCAATGATGCTGGTTCTCAGTCTGGTTTTAGGGACAGACAGGGGCAGCTGGTCCATGGACCAAAATGGTGGAAATATGCATATTTGACTCCAAATTTCATCACTAATGGAGTACCATATGGCTGCAGTGGGCCCAGGTCCAAGAGAGAAGCAGCTCACACACGGAAACCACCGGGTCTGAGCACAATAACTTTAGTTTTACTTTCATTGAAAATAAAAAAATAATTAAGGCCATCTGTGCTTTGATGTCTTTTAGACAGTCCAATAGTGTTTTCAGGAAGCTGACATTATTTCTCTTTTAGGCGTATATAATGTGAGGGTTCTGAATCTTTCTGAAATGTTAAAACCAACAAAATGGAGACATAACTTTCTTAGCAGCACCTTTACTCTCCACACACATCAACTACAACAACACTTTCTGTGCACAGCCCCCATGAGACTTCACTCACCACTCAGGAGTCAGAAAATCAATGAAACAGGTGATTGCAGAAAAACCAACGAGGTAGAGTCAACACATACTGAAATTGAAAATACATGAACACTCAAATATGTATATTTGAGTGTTCATGATGCAAATGGGTATATAACTATACTCCTCATAGACACCTCTGTGCGTTGTTTCCAAGCTCCTAAGACCACATTCAATAAACACACATCCATTCACAAATAGATGATTTTTTTTTTTTCTTTTTTTGGGCCTGTCCCGTTTGGCTCTTTTGCCATCAGAATTGTTGTCTAAAGGCAAAGAAAGATGCCCAACGGATTTACTTTACCAAACTGACCATCCCAGCCTTGCCGTAATGGTCCATTTGATTCACCTTTTATTGTTTATTTTATTTTCACTTACTGAATACGGGACAGACTTGACTGGGGGAAAGAAGGGGAGAAAGAAAGAGGGAAAGAGAAACAGCTGAGAAGAAGGACGGGGGAGAAGGGCAAAAAACAAAAACCAACAGAACGGGCAGAGAAGAAAAAATGCATATATCAATCACCTGGATCACCTGCTGAGAAAGAAAAAAGAAAGCAAGCAGAAGAGAACAAGAGTAATAGAATAAACAGCATCACAATGATATATGGGAATATGACAGTAAATACTAAATATTAAACATTATTGTGCAGCACATAAGATCAACAGAACACAGTGTGCTTTGAGGTAGGAGCCAAAAAGGGTGTAGTTTGTGGGTGTGATCACCCGTGTGTACACCTGTGAGCATGGACGCGCTTGTTTTTTGTTTTTTTAAAAGGTTCCTTCATGTAATGATCTGCTAGAGGGTGTGGGGGGGCCACAGCCCCGTCCTCCAGGGCATGAAGCAGGTGTGGAGGAGATCAAAACTCCAGACATCCAGAGGCCCCAGAACACAAGAGACCAAGGAAGACCAACAGAGGGGCAGCTGCGCCACTGTCCCGGAAAGAGCTGAGGAGAGTCCCAGATGAGGGCTCACTCAGCAGCCGCGGAGCAGAAGCCAGGGGGAGTTGCAGTGACGCGCCCGTGAGCTCCGCCGGCAGCCAGCCGCGCCTGAGTGACCGAGCCCCAGGCCGAGAGGCCGGGGGCACCCCACCTCCGAAGTGGCCCGAGCGAGCCCCAGGCTCCAGGCCCCGATAAGCGGCCGCCAAGGAGTGAGCCGGTGTGTACCTGGACGCCCATCTCCGGACACAAAGAACCACCAACGCACCGATGTCTGAGGGGGTCCGCCACTGGCAGGGGAAGTGGTGGTAGGGGGAGATAGGCCTCCAAACCTTGGAGGGGCTGAGATGACCCCAGAGAGGTGGCGCCTGACACCCAACCTGACATATAGACACAGACATACAGGCACACACAGATACAAACATCCATTCCCACCCTCATGCTCTCATATGCACTTACTCCACACTCAACCAACGTGGAGACAGACATAAAGAGACGTTGTACACATGATCACACTCCCCAAGCGTACTCTACAAACCGGGTCTAGGTGCCCCCGCCCCTGGAGGGGGGAACTGCACCCAGACCCAGGTGGTGTTTCCCTTTTCCCTGCGGTGGGGAGAGGCAGACCGCCCCGACTCCGCAGCAGCAGGAAGGCTCCACACTCCAGACCGCAGTCGGACGGCCAACTCCTCCTCCTAGTCCTAGCCCCCCTGCTCCAGCAGGTCGCAGAGAATGGGGGTGAGAGAAGACTCCAAACCTCCCTCCACCCGCTCATTGTAATGTTGATGCATGTGTGTTCTAAGGTGCATTTAAAACCCAGGAGGGCTTGGACCTACCTGCCAGAGAGCAGCAGGTAAGCGCATGGTCCCTCCTGCTAGCCCTCAATGTCTACGTGTATTTAAAATTGAGAGGTGGGCAACAATGCCAGGGGTGGGGTGTACACCCTGATGGTACTTTGGACTCCGTGTATCGTGCCCACCCCCAAGATCCTGTATGTGTAATGAGAGTGTGAGTAATGTGAATGTCTAAGTTGTGGGATAAAATTGAGGCAGAGGCAGCCAGAAGGGGACAGAGGACAAATAGATGATTAAGGAATGAAGGTGCTGTTTCAAGAATGCCTGTTTGTCCACATTTCACCTGCTTTCATTGAAGTTGTGTAGACCACAGTGGAGCTACTTCTTTGTGAGCCAAAAAAATAAGATGTAGAAATATTTTACATCACTTTATGTAACCCAGACTGTCTATTTATCTTTATTAGGCTAATGTTTAAACTGTTCACATGCTGGTGACTTGTTTCAGTTAGTGGTGTTAAAACCTCTTGAAATTTTATTTTTGTACTGCATGACTTATATGAAGTATAGTCTAACCATCTGTAACAGATATACACACACAACAGGGATTTGTTTGATCCTGTTCAACCAGTTTCAGCTACTTTGTCAAAACAAGACTGGGCGATGCTGACACGACGAGCCATTTCTCACAGAACTTCCTAACACAGAATCATTTGAAAAAAAAAACTGAAAAACTGAAAACAAAACATTTTAGTAGCAAATAAATTAGTAGGGGAGACCGGGGATAGTTGTAACGTGGGTCAGTTGTAACACTTCCAATTTCTCCAATCAGGGCTAAGTTTCAAATGATGTGACTCATCCTGTGCATGCCCAACTCAGTTCTGCTATCACATGTGAAAAATCAGCACATTTTGTCAAACACAATTTAACACGAAATAAAGTAATTTGTATGCCAAAAAGTAAGTTTTTCTACTTTTTTTCA